GCCTTCGCCGCCGCTCGGACACCAGGGCTTTTAAAGGACCTAAACAGCAATTTTGGACCCTCACCAATTTGCTCAATTAGTGTTGGCCTTTGTTTTATATAGACATATTTATATACACGTATAAAATATATTTTTTTATATAGATATATATATATATTTAAGAGTTCAGTATAAACCGAATGCTCTTCATGAGGATCGTTACCGATCCGTCTTCGGAGCCTTTTGAAATCACTCCAGGGCTACTCAGAGGATGAGGTGAGGAAAAAACAAACATCAAAATATCTCAAGACCTAATGCTATAAATAGAACGAAAATTAAAAGTCCTCACACCGCTGTTCCTATCAGACCGTCGTTGGAGCCTTTAGACAATTAACAAAGATCCATTACATTTAAAGAAGTTAAGCCATACACCTCATCAAAAGATGTGGCACCTTTTGTGGCCACGGGTGGGTGGGTAGTATGAAAACCTGTGACAAGCAGAATTCCTACCAGCACGGCCAGAGGACACGGTCTTTGTGTGGCTGCTCACTGCAAACACATGAGAATGTCCTGCTTTGGCCAGGGGAGTTGGATTAGATGATCTCTAGAAGGTCCCTTCCAACTCCAACAATTCCATAACCCCTGCCCCCAGCAGATACCACCCGTGGAGCAAACCTTCCCTCCCTGTTTGACTCCTTGAGTACCCCCTGCTCTCTCCCAGGTGGGTGGGATGATCCACTGCGTCAGAGAAAAGCCAAAATGCCCACACGATAAAACGGTTCCACCTCAAACATTGATGCAAAGAGCGTCAAGTCACTTCTGCGTAAGGTCATCCCAACAGTCAGAGCCCAAGGAGAACGGGTGGGCTCTGCAGGAACAATGGAAAAGGGAGTCTCCTTGATCTTAAGAAGGATTAAGATGTTCTCAAAAAGATGGGCTAAAAGACACAGAATCACAGAATCTTCTAGGTTGGAAGGGACCTTAAAGGTCATCTTGTCCAACCGTCAACCTGACTGACAAAAATAGACACCCACACAACAAACAAGGAGCATCATCACTAAACCAGACCTCCCAGCACTACATCAACCTGTCTTTTGAACACCTCCAGGGATGGGGCCTCAACCACCTCCCTGGGCAGCCCATTCCAATGGCTGAGAACCCTTTCAGTGAAAAAATTTTTCCTAATATCCAGCCTGAACCTCCCCTGGTGCAACTTGAGGCCATTTCCTCTCGTCCTGTCGCCTGTGACTTGAGAGAAGAGACCGACCCCCATCTCTCTACACCCTCCTTTCAGGGAGTTGTAGAGAGCAATGAGGTCTCCCCTCAGCCTCCTCTTCTCCAGGCTGAACACCCCCAGCTCCCTCAGCCTCTCCTCACAAGACTTGTGCTCCAGACCCCTCACCAGCTTTGTCACCCTTCTCTGGACCCGCTCCAGCACCTCAATGTCTTTTTTATGGTAGGGGGCCCAAAACTGGACACAGTACTCAAGGTGAGGCCTCACCAGTGCCCAGTACAGGGGGACAATCACCTCCCAAGTCCTACTTAACACACTGTTCCTGATACAGGCCAGGATGCTGGTGGCCTTCTTGGCCACCTGGGCACACTGCTGGCTCATGTTCAGCCGACAGGCCACCAACACCCCCAGGTCCTTTTCTGCCCGGCAGCTCTCCAGCCACCGGGACACAGTAGCACAACCCCTTGTTTTATCTGCCAAAAAGACTCTGAGGTGTGATGTTGTTGCAGCAGCAAGAGGGCTATGTCCTAATCCAGGACACCCAGCAGTGATGGGCTCTTGCTGTCCGAGAGGAGAAAACCTGAACCTCCTGTTCATGTTGAAGACTACGAGGAACTCAGGAGCCATGGGCAGCTAAAGAAGGGTATGAGCCAGTTGCTGCAGTCAGCAGCTAGAAGATCTGAAGGAGATGATGCTGTCTACCAGCGTGTCCAGCATTCCTGGTGATACTGAAAAGTGAATCTGGTGTTTTGTCTTTGGAACTGGCACTTCAAATGCTTCTTAGCAAGGAACGGACTATGACACCACCACGGTATCCATAGTCATGCAGTTACCAGTCATCACCTGCCCACAAGGTCTCAAGGATGGGAAAGGCAGCTCCTCAGACCTCCTTCACGTCCCTCAGACCTCCTTCATGTCCCTCAATTCTGACACACCAGTGTTTTAATCATCTCATTTCCTATAAATCTCAGGTGCGATCAGTATTGACCCTACAAATAAGTTTTAACCTAAAGTTCCATGTGTCCAGTTAATTTACAGGGCTTGTTTGACCTCAGCAAAGCCTTCTGGTGGTTTAGCAAGGGACCAACTACGCCCAAAAGTATCCTGGTAATCTAATAAAAGCAGACATGATCTTCTGCAACCATAGCATCATCTGGAGAAGAAGTCGTTGACCACAAAGAAAGCACCTTCACAGCAGTGGGAAGGCTGAATGAACCAATAATGGTGACAGAGCAGGATGGTACAAGACAAAAAGGCAAAGTGACCTTTTGTAGAAGATACTGGGATGGATTCTTCTGAAAATCCATCCAGCAACCCAAGGACACACTCAGACTGCAGAGAGGCATGGGCATGTCCCAAACCAAGACCTATAGAAAAACAGTCCTCATACACGCAAAGGCACTATAAAAAAAAAAAAGAAATACACATTAGAAGGGAAACACAACATAAGTGGAAAAAAAGCATCACTTTTTGCACAGGTGGTAAAGAACTGACCTCCTGAGGCATGTTCCCATTCTGGGCACTCCTGCACAACGCAGGATGAGATGGTCTGGAAACAAATGGGCTGTTTAACCACCTTCTTCACACACACACCCCATCAGAAATCCAAACACTTCTACACACAGCCCCCTGAAGATAAACCCTGCCTTTTGGTATCCTCAGAAGAGCACTCCAAACAGCATCTTAAACTTGGTTAAGGTACCACTAATTCCAAAGAAGCATGAAGACATTGAAGCAGTCATTCCAGGTGTGTCCAGAGGTCCATCTATGCAAGGATTTGGTATTCTGGAGCAAAGAGGAAAATGGTATAAAGATTAAGGAAAGGACATAATAACCTTTCCTCAACTTATCCCAAGCTCGAGTAGTTTGTTGCTCAGAAGACTCCTGGGCTGGCTATGTCGACCCTGATGGCCTTCAGCCACCTCCTCCTACAGCTGTTTGCCCAACCACGACAAATCCTTGCCCCTTTCCACCTCATTGCGGCCATGGGGTTTTTTTTTTGCTTCAAAGAGGTAACTCACCCTCATTACTTCTCAATTTTGAGCCACAGGACATTAAGATGTTAATATTTACTTGTTTTCATGCCCATTTTTTCTAGTTTCCTATGCACCTCAGACTTCTCCTAGGCGTCTTCTGCATTTTTCAGAATTTCAACCTGCCCCTTTCAGCTTTTACAAGTCTTAACCTTATTGAATTTTCACAAGCACAAGGGAGATGGAACCCAGACGGCAAAAAGACAAGCCCCATCCACCCTACACCTTCCTTCTAAGGGGCTTCCACTCCGATAAAATTTTAAATGCTCACGCTTTGAGAAGAAATGGTGGATCATGTTTTATGCAGCCCTGAGGAAA